AGCCTGGTGCCTGGAGGGTCAATTCCAATCATGTCTTTTCTGATCACTTCATTTATGCCCCCAGAGACCTTGGCTTAAAAATAGAAAAATAAACACTGTTAAGATAGCTTCCTGCACTCCTCACTACCCTGCCCGCCCAGCTCAGCAGAAGCCTTACTTTTCTTTGTCCACGCATTCTCCCAGCCCTCCCTATGAAGTCCAGACCCCATTGCTGGTTCCCCACAGGCAGCCTTTTGCAGAGGAAGGTATTGTCCCCTTGAAATATCTTCCACATTGCTATTCAGAGGATCCATCGATCCAGATCTGGAAGGCGCTTTGGGGACATCTAGTCTGGCCTCATTTTTCAGAGGAAGCAAGTAAGACCTAAGAAGTGAAGTGATTTGGGGGCAGCTACATGTCGTAGTGGAGAGAGCATCAGCCCTGGAGGCAGGAGGACCTGAGTTCAAATCTGGCCTCACACATATAACACTTAGTAGCTGTGTGACTCTGGGCAAGTAACCTAACCCCAATTGCCTCGCCACAAAAAAAAAAAAGTGTAGTGATTTGCCAAGGTAACACTGGGTAGTAAGCAAGAGAGGTGGGTTTCGTATCCAGGTCTAGAATCTATACTGCCATTCATTTCAGAGCAGCAAGCATTTATTGATGATGCTACTATGTACAAGGTACCGTGTTAGAAGCCTGATGGATACAAAGATGAATCGAATCACAACTGTTCCATTCAACAAGCATTTGTAAAGAGCTTACTCCCTGATAGGCACAGTGCTAGCTGGGCACTGGAAAATAAAGTTTAAAAAAAATAGTAACTTTTATTTTTATAGCACCTTTCAAAGTTCGTAAAGCACTTGACATAAATTATCTGGTTTGATCATTAGAATGATCCTTAGAGGTAATCAACCAGTCCAACAAGAAACAGACATTTGCTAAGTGTCTTCTATGTGTTAGGCACTGTTTGAAGGCAAAAATGAAAATGTATAAGTGTATAGAGAATAATTACAGCATAAGTCCTAGAGTTTCCATTTTACAGATGGATGATCAGAGTGTCAGAGCTGGCAAGTCTCCTATTCCATCTCCCTCCTTTCCAGATGAGGAAGTGAGGCCGAGAGGGTAAGTGAGTTTTCTGAGGTCACATGTAGACAGTAGTAGAGTCAAGATTTGAACCCAGGTCCTTTGACAACAGAACTAATATTCTTTCTATTGTACGATATGACAAAATTCTCCGGGAGTCTGTAATAATACAGAGATGGGGGAAAACAGCAGTTTATCATTCTGAGAGCTCACTGAACCCTTCAATTAGTTAGTAAGCCCTGAGCAACAGTCTCATTTTTGTTGTTCAGTCATGTCTGATTCTCTGTGACCCCTTTTCGAGGAGTTTCCTTGGTAAAGATACTGGAGTGGTTTCTCCAACTCAATTTACTGATGAGAAAACTAAGGCAAACCGTGTTAAGTCACTTGCCCAGGGTCACACAGCTAGTAAACATCTAAGACCACATTTGAACTCAGTTCTTCCTGACTCTAGGTCTGGTGTTCTATTCACTGTGCCACCTAGCTGCCCTTGCTACAGAATAGGTGCCTAATAAATGCTTGTTGATTGATGGAGAAAGGTTATGGGGCTTGTCCAGGCTCTCATAGCCAATAAATATCCGAGGAGGCCTTTTAATCCAACTCTTCCTGGCCCCAAGTCCATCATCCTGTCCAATGTGCCATGGAGCCTCTCTCCAAAGGCAACTCATATTTATAGGGACAGGGACTGGTCTTGCCATCTCATTGGTATGAGGCACTCCTAACAAGAAAACTCTCTACCAAGGAAGCATCTTGACAGTTTAAAGTCTTAGAGCTGACTAGAAAACTAACAGAGGTTAAATGTCATCCTCACGATCATAGAGTGAGCTTTCATCAAAGTCAGGATGTGCACTGAAGATTTTCTTGTCTCTGAGGCCAATTCTCTATCCTCTCTACCATGATGCTTCTCAACTCACACTTAATTTTAAGGTTTAGAAAGGTTTTGCTCATTACAGTCCTGTGGTGAAGGCATTGAAGTAGTTTTAACCCTATTTGACAGTTGGGAAAACTGAACGTCAGACAGTTTAAGTGACTTATCCAGGATCTCACAGATAATAAATGTTATGGCAGCTTGGTGGTGCAATGGATAGAGTGCTCGGCTTGGAATCAGGAAGACTCATGTTTCTAAGTTCAAGTCTGGCCTCAGACATTTACTAGTCGTGTGACCCTGGGCAAGTCATTTAATCCTGTCTGCCTCAGTTTCCTTATCTGTAAAATGAGTTGGAGAAGGAAATGGCAAAACAACAACAACAAAAATGGCCATGCTTCCAACCTAAGTTTCTGATTCTAGCACTAGTGTCCTTCCAACTTTACTATATTCCTGCTGCCATCAAGAAGTTTCATGGGGGAGGTATGAAGAGGGTTGATCTGGAGAGTCCCTGATCAATTCAGTTTGAGAATCAACCAGCCAGATTACAGGATGAGAGCTTTAGTTTGGAGTCAGCAGACGGGTTGGCTCCTCGTGAACTATGGGCATGCCCAGTGGGACTTTTCTGATTGGATTTTTAGGCACTGGGTGGGCCTGGCTCCAAGATGATTGGCTGGCTGAGATTCAGGAGTCTATGGCATTTATCATTAGTGTATACACCCATGGGATTTTATTATCATTATTTTAAAAGACAAACATTTATTAAATGCTCAACCATAAAGAATTATTTTTTCACCAAGGCAAGGAAATTACATTTTTATTTTTTAAATGAACATTTTACTTTACCTTAGCGTCATCCTGGACTCCTCTCTGGCACTCATTCCACATAGCTAATTTCTTGCCAACTTCACGGCATTTCTGACCACTGCTTTGGTTCAGGTCCTGATGATCTCATGTCTGAACTGCTGCCATGGCTGCCTGGTTGGTCTCCCTGTTTTAAGTCTCTCCTCACTCCATTCCATCCTATACTCAGCTGCCAAGGGTTTTTTCTAAGTGCATGTCTGACCATGTCCCTCCTCTACTCATTTAACTCCAGTGGCTCCCTACGGCCTTCAGGACTGAATACCAAATCCTCTGTTTGACTTATAAGTACATCATAACCTGGCCTCTTCCTACTTTTCCAGTCTTCTGACATCTTACTCCCTCATACCCGGGCCCGGTCTGTAAGATCGTTGTTGTTGTTCAGTCATGTCCGATTCTTCATGACTCTATTCGGGGTTTTCTTGGCAAAGATGCTGGAGTGGTTTGTCATTTCCTTTTTCAGATACTTTTACAGATGAGGAAACTGAGGCAAACAGGGTTAAGTGACTTGCCTAGGGTCACGCAGCTAGTAAGTGTCTGAGGCTAGATATGAACTCAGGTGTTCCTGACCTCAGCCTTGGTGCTCCATCCATTGAGCCACCCATATTACGTACTATTTACTCTGTATACATCTGGTATGTAGCTAGATACATGTTATCTTCCTCATTAGAGTATTAGCTCCTTGAGGGTAGGGACTATATCTTTGCCTTTCTTTGTATCCCCAGCATGTAGCACACAGTAAGCATTTAATAAATACTTATTAATTGACTTATTTAAACAACACAAACTTCAAAAAGAGAGATAAAATTTCAAATTTTTGCTGTGGTGTTAACCAGAAACATACAAAGATACAGTCAACTCTAGGCCTATAGATTAAGAACTGGAAGGGGACTTGAATCCAACCACTCTATTTTATAATTGAAGAAACTGAGACCCAGGAGGTAGAATGACTTGTCCAAGGTCACACATTGAGTATCTGAAGCAGAATCTCATCTTATATCTTCCTGACCCTTTAGTCCAGAAATTTATCCACTAAGCCTTCAAGCTGTCTCTCATTACATCCTTGTAATTAACTGACACAGTCAATTCTTGTTTAATGTACAGATCACGAGTGAGTTGAGATGCTTTGGGGACATTTTGCTTCTTTTGTTTTTCACATGTGCTAGTTTTGACAGGGCTGTCTCACACAGTTTGTAATGAGGGAAAGGAAAGAGATTTGAATTAGCATTTACATAGCCCCTACCGTGTTCTAAGCGCAAAACTATTAGCAAATATTATTTCATTTGATCCTCACAACAATGCTGAGAGATTGGTACTATTGTTATTCCCAGTTTACAATTAAGGAGACTGAGGTAAACAGAGCTTAAGTGACTTACCCAGGGTCACAAGTTAGAAAGGTCTGAGGTCAAATTTGAACTCAGGGCTTCCTGATTCCAGGCCCAGGGCTCTACTATAAGGCAACAAAGTATTGAAGGGTAAAAGACCTAGAAAATGGGAGACAAATCCAAATCCTTAGCCAACTGAGCCGCTCTCTGGTGGTATAGGTAGCGGGTTACTAGGAGTAGTTTGTCTAACCCTTAGCTAATCAGGCTTCAGCTTCCAGTTTCTCAAGGGGTAATATAAATCTGTTGGCAGTGATCCTCATAATATCCTTGCCAATATCTAGGTTCAGCATTTCTCTGCTGAAGCTACAATTTTACAAGTCTCCTGTTTAAATTGTTATTCAATGTCAGTCCAGGAATGGATACAATGAAATGAAATCTCTTCTGCTTTTCTTTACAACAAAGGGGTGCTGGGACTCAAATTCGTCATCATTGCAAGGTGATTTTTTTTTCTTCTTAACTGGAGGAGTCAATATATCTTTTTCCTATACACAATTTGACACTGTCATTTAAAATAGATTAAAAATATTATTATAGGGCAGCTTCTCTCTGCAGCCAAAGTGACACAAGATTTTCTGCCCTTGTCATTGATGTGACCAAGTTGAGATGTGGAGCATGGAGAGCCCTATTCCCTTTTACCATCATCTGGAGAACAGGATGCATCACGTGAAGAGCAAACATGAACTTGAATGAGTTTAGTTCCTGGCTACAGTCCCTGGGTTTTATTTTAGGGTCAGTGAGAAAGTTGTTTCCTGAATCTCTTGTAAAGCTTATAAAATGATGGAATAGTTTTGTTTTACAGTAAGTCGCTTTCTCTTCTGAATGCTTACCTTGCATTTGAGAGTGACTTGCAATTCTTCATCTGGGATCCTACTTCTTGTGAGATTCCATTATTTTATGTCATGCAGAACTCCGCTCCATGAAGGCATAAAAGTCTGAGTGATACACTAATAAATAAATGGATGAATGAATGAACACATATCTACTAGGACAAGGTTCAAATAACATCTACAGAAATGCACACTTTGTTTTTGTTGTTCGTCCTTCATTTTTGACAAGGACCAATGACATCATGGGGTGATGTCTTGACTTGCACATGAATTGGATTTAAGTGAGACAGAGTTGCACAAAGTTGTCAGCCTCGCTCTCTCTTCCAGAGTCATCAAAGCTCAGCGGCAAGACAAAAGTCAGGATGACTGGCAATGAGCTGGGATGCAAGAGATGACCTTGGCATCTTTGATGTCTTGACCAAGCTCTAACTGCTCCATGGGGCCTGCTTCAGCCACTTTCATGACTGTTGGAACAAATTGTTCTCATCTCCCACTCCACCAGGGAAATTCTTGTGGGTTTGAGACCTGTTGATTACCCTCAAATGCTTTAGCCCATCTACTGAGACAGTTTTACCAGAGTGTGGCCACTGTGCATGTCATAGCTTCTTGAAACTATAGGAGAGAGTTGAGTGACAGGTAGACACCAAAGGTGGATGATCAGCCCTGAAAAGGGCTTGGCAAGCCCTCACACCAGAGGTGCTAGTCTTCCCTGAATACCCCATGCACCCTTTCTTTACATTTAATTTGAATTCTTGCAACACATTCAGATATAGTAGATGAGCCATCAAAATAGGCAGTTACCATTGATAACTGGTCCATTTTAAGAATATCATGGACATTATTTAAGTGATCAAAAATTAACTATGCATCAATTGTCAATAGTATATGAATGGACACATCAACAGACATCATTATCAAAATATAGTGATGCCCCAGTTGACCCCTATTCATGGTGGTCAGAAGTGATTGAGAACATTTGTCCACTATCATTTGAGGCATAACCTTATGCAAGACTACAGTCAAATCACTTTGAAGCTGATGGCTTGGGTGGCATTGGGAAGAGTTGGGTGCACCTATTCTGACATGGTGGGATCATCTTTTTGAAGCACTTTGTCAAGATTTAGACATAAATCTTTCTGGTTTGCACAATTTCATTAGATTAAAATGCTGGTCTCTATTATCTACAGGTTCTTATCCTATATTGAAAGAAAACTGTCATCTTAGATTTAGATAGAAAAACATCAGCTCTTTTTTTTAACCAAACACAGAAAAATGTCAGTCAGTTACTCCATGGGTTGTGGTTAACATTCTCATTGTTCTTTAGGCAGATATTCCAGCTTGCTCTCATGTAGCAGTGCAGCAACAGGTTTCCCTTCATTAAAACTTGACCAAGAATAACAGATTAGCCCATGAGAATTCAACAGTTGCTGGTTTTTTAAACTGTTAGTCGGTCCTATTCTAGTTTCTGAATCCCTTACCAAAATGCTGATTCAGTGGGATCATTGTTTGTAGGTAGCATCATTAAAAGAGAAGAAACATCAGTAAAAGCAAAATCCTAAATCCTTTCATGGGCTATATACTTGAAATCAAATGTTGCCTCAAACACTGACTAAGCTGTATCATTCTGGGTAAGACACTTTCTTCTAGCCTCAGTTTCCTCATTTGTAAAGTGGGGATAATAATAGTACCTACCTCACTGGGTTGTTGTGAGTATTAAATAATATAACATATGTAAAGTGCATGACAAATTAAAGTACTATATGAATTCTAGTTATAATTACTATTCTAACTACCTATACATTTCACATCAAACAGACTAAAAGTGTGTGTTTTTTCCCCCCTATTTTGCTTCTAGGAAACATGCTTCATCTAAGATGGTTAGGACTTCTAGATAATGGAGAAGGGCATTCTAGTCCATTTTTAAAGACTGTCACAGACTGGATTATCAGATGGGACATTTGATGGCTTTTAACAGGTAGCACAGTGGATAGAGTACTGGGATAGAGACAGGAAGACGAGTTCAAATCGAGCCTCAGGCATTTATTAGCTATGTAACCCTGGGCAAGTCACTTAACCTCTATCTGCCTCACTTTCTTCAACTATAAAATGGGGATAATACTAGCAGCTACTGCTTCCTAGGGATGTCCTGAGGATCAAATGAGATAATTGTAGAGTGCTTAGCACAGTGCTTGGTACGTAGCTAGGCACTTAATAAATATATGTTCCCTTCCTTATTTTTAACAGGAACTACAATTACTTGAACAAGAGACAGGGGTTTTTTTGGCTTTTTTTTTTTGGACATTATTCAGTTTATCTTATACACTGGTACTGGCAGCAGCATTATCTTCATGTAAATTCTTAATCAAAGGAGTCCAAAGTATTCACACTTCTGTCAGCACATTCATTATAATTCACTTTATCTGTTATTCTTCTTATCTTACCAAAAAATGATCCATATTTAAAAATTAACAGGTGATATCACAGAATTGAGACAAAATGTGATGCCATGGCTCATTATGCCATTTCAGTAGAGTACATGATGCAAAGATTGTAAATGCTCCTCTCTGCTAGGTAGCCTGGACTTGGCCACTTTTATAGGTAAAAGAATTCTCCAGAATAGTAGTCAGAGAAGGTAAGGTAGTGTCAGATCATAGAGGGCTTTGAATACCAAGCAAAGAATTTTAAACTCTATTTGTCATACAATTAGGATTTGGTGAAGATTTTTTTTTGCACTTAAGAGTATTTTTCCCCCAATTACATGTAAGGATAGTTTCCAACATTTGTTTTTGTAAAATCTTGAATTCCAAATTTCCCACTCTTTCCCCACCTCCCTCCGCAAGACTGCAAACAATCCGATATAGGCTATGTATGCACAATCATGTTAAATATATTTCCACATTAGTCATATTGTGAAAGAAGAATCAGAACAAAAGGGAAAACCATGAGAAAGAAAAAACAAAAACAAAAAAAGTAAAAATCAACTTCAATCTACATTCAGATTCTATAGCTCTTTCTCTAGATGTGGGCAGTATTTTCCATCATGAGTTTTTTAGAATTGTTTTGGCTCATTGTATTGCTGAGAAGAGCTAAGTCTATCATAGCTGATCATTGTACAATGTTGCTGTTACTGTGTACGATGTTCTCTTGGGTCTGCTCACTTTACTCAGTATCAGTTCATAGAAGTCTTCCCAGGTTCTTCTGAAATCTGCCTGCTCATTGTTTCTTATACATCAATAGTATTCCATTACATTCACATGCCACAACTTGTGCAGCCTAGCAAAGATCTTTGAGCAAAGGATTGACATACCTAGATTTATGCACAAAAAAGATTCATCTGGCAGAGGTATGAAGGATAGATATGAGTGGGGAGAGAGGAAGCAAGAAGACTTGCTAAGAAGCTAATATAGTAATCCCAGGCTCCATATTCCCTTGATCATCCTCTCTGGGACCCACAGCTCTTCGGGGTGAGGATGAGAGGTGTAATCTGTGACAAACTAATGGATTCAAACACCTTGTTGGTGCTAGAACCTGTCTCAGATGTTTTGGGTTGACTGACTACCAACACTGTCTCTCAGCTTAATATTTTGGGATAGTTTAAATAGCATTGGCTTTGGAATAAAAGAAACTGGGTTCAAATCTTGGCTCTACCACTTCCTATTTGTGTGACTCTGGACAAGTTAATTTATCTCTTTGGGCCTCAGTTTTCTCATCTGTAAAACTGGAGTGGTGGTGGAGGGATTGAAAGAAGTGATCTTTCAGTGATCTTTTCTTCTAGTCTTAAGTCTACGATCCTATGGTCTCTGAAGTTCTCATCTCTCTCTGAAGCTCCCTCACTCCTTAAGCAATAGATTGAACAATTATTGTGTTAGGGACTGTGTTGGGGAGTTGGAGGATGTCTCAGTCTGTCTTATTTGTTTCTGTTATCAAAAATAATGAGAAAACTCACCTTCTGGTTCCTGAAACATTTATTACGGGTAGGAAGAGGGAGAGAAAGAAAGGAGAGAGGTAGAAAGAGAGGGAGAGAAAGAGCAAGGGGAAGAGGGAGGAAGAGAGAGAAGAGAAGAGAAGAGGAGAGGAGAGGAGAGGAGAGGAGAGGAGAGGAGAGGAGAGGAGAGAGAAGAGAGAGAGAGAGAGAGAGAGAGAGAGAGAGAGAGAGAGAGAGAGAGAGAGAGAGAGAGAGAGAGAGAGAGTGCTACCCAAGTAGCGTTAAGAAGCTATTAGCATCTCAAAGGTGGGCATATAGTAAAAACAAGTGTACTGCCCATGCAGTGTTGGGAAGTTATTAGTACTGCAAAAATAGGCTCATGGTAAAACAAATATACCAACCATATGGTTCTCAGAAGCAGTCGGCACCGCAAAGATGGGCTACAGGAAAACAAGAAGTGCACATATGTGGTACTGGAAGGATACCGCTCTTCGGGGGGGGGTGCTCTTGAGTTAGGCACAAGATGGTATCTCTGTAGGATGGGCCTTTGCTGAGAAGATGTGGCAGAGTACAGCCCAAAGAATGCTGTATTTGGAATGAGGATTCGAGTTTAAATTCCATCCCAGTCATTCAGTACCTGAATGACCTTGGAGAAGCTACTTAAATACTTTGGGCTTCAGTTTCCTCATATGTAAAAATTAGCAAGTTAATAAATATTAATTAAATGCCTGCTATGTGTCATGAGCAGCTAGGTGGTACAGTGGCTAGAATTCTACACCGGGAGTAAGGAGGACCTGAGTTCAAATCTGGCCTCAGACACTTACTAGCTGTGTGACCCTGGGCGAGTCACTTCACCCTGTTTGCCTCAGTTTCCTCATCTGCAAAATGAGCTGGAGAAGGAAATGGCACACCACTCCATTACCTTCACCAAGAAAACCCCAAAAGGGATCATGAAGGGTCAGACATGACTGAACCACGACAACAGCAGCAGCAACAAATGTACCATGCAAGGACAGCGAGGTGGAGCAGTGGCTAGAGTGCTGGGCCTGCAGTCAGAAAGACCTGGGTTCAAATCTGGCCTCAGACACTTATTAGCCATGTGAGCCTGGGTAAATCACTTTGTGCCTCAGTTTCCTTATCTATGAGGAAATTATGAGCTGTAGAGGAAAATGG